GAATATCCCAAAGAAAAGGTGGCTGGCAAAGCCACTGTGGGGAATAATCCTGTGTTGTTAGGGGAAGGATACAGATGAAATGTAATGGGTCTTTTCTTTCAGCTATGAAAGAGGCTGACACCTGCACACAGGCACAACTTAAATTAGAACTTGTCAAACAGTGATTTGCTCTGGATGGAGCTCTGAACAACAAACAGCTCTTGAACTTACCTCCCAGTCTAAAAAGGATGCACCATTTCACACTGTGGGGTCATATGGTGGAAGCTACAAATCCCTTATTTTAAAAATCCCTAAGGATCCTCAGGTATGATACCAGTTAATGATGATGCCTCCCGTTTTCTCAGGCATGTACCCTTCAGAGAATTTCGGAATTACCTAAAAATATAGGTAATTCTCACTGCCAGTCTTGGTCTGTGCTAAAAGTATATTTCTCTGCCTTCACAAGAAAAGAAGCAAAAAAATACTTTTAGTTAAAAAATTAAAATGTACAAGTAATCTTGCTCTAGTATTTAATTAAAACTAAATAGGTATGATTGTCATTTTCTTCCTCAAAATGATGTAATTTACTTTAATATTTCATGAGGTATGCCCTTTTCAATATATTAAAAGCTGCTAGAAATATTAGATATCTTGAGGAATGTTGAAATCATTTTAATTGTCAATATACAAATCTATCATAATTTGTTTTGTTATTGCATATATTATATTGGACTAGCTAGTCAAATTAATTCCCAGTATATTGGAATATGGCAAAATTCTAAATTGGTATATATCATATATAACAAAGTTCCTCAAAACCAGTGCTTAGGGGGTGTGTGTGCGTGTGTGTGTGTGTGTGTGTGTGTGTGTGTTTAAATTTGCACTGTAGAGTTTGAGTTACTGAAATAGTTAAGCAAAAAATTATGAAAAAAGTGGCAATTGGCACGTCATTAAAGTTAAATACCAATTAAATTTTAAAATGCTAGAATGGAATATTTGGAAAATGGAAATGTGTGGAAAATTTACAAAACCAAAAATTTTTAACCCTTTGCAGTCGTATTAAACTTGGACATGGGTGTCGTACTGGTCGGAATTAATTTCCATTGAAAGAGCAGTGATACATAACATGCAAGATTATGAAGGAGAAACAAGATTTATTAATTCTTTTTTGGAACTAAGTCACTACTAGTAGAATCACTACAAACGTTATCACTTTCTACGTCAGAGTCAGTATTCAAGGTGCCAAAATAAAACTCTTCATCGTTACTTTCAGCT